TGGAATTTGGTGTGTTTTGGTTCAGTTAAAAAAATAAGAAATACGGCGATCCACACGCCCTCTCTGACAGATCATCAGGTGTTTAACTAACCAACCACTGATGTGTTCAGATTACCACTTATTAATACTCGCAAAATAAACATCAAGCCTAAAAACATAAAACTGTGATGACATTATCAGGGCCAGAGTACGAGTTTCTTTTAAAATACAACAATAAGGTCTTAACATAACAAGAGTACAGTCATGTCTTTATGAAAACACCAACATGAAAAATAACAAAAAATTTAAATTAAATTGAGGAATGTTGACCATTTTTCACAGGAAATATTTCACCTTTTAACACATCACCATCAAATTATTATCAGCAGCAGAACCTTGAAACGACTGAGGAAACGACAGAGTATTTTGAAGAAAGATCCTCTCGGACTCTGCAGGTCAGGTCTGAATGACTATGGAGGCTTTTTCTCATTAAAATGTCTTTTTTCTCTTAATTTTAAGATGTTTTTCTAGTAAAATTGCATCTTTTTTCTGCTAATATTATGTGACTTTATTCTCATATCAAACAAAAATTCTTGACCTAATACTTTATTGTAGATCTCACAGAAGGGATGATTAAAATAAAAGCCACATTTTGAAAATATTTTCTGTCTGTAATTTATAATTTAGAAAAAGTGAAGAAAAAAAATTTAATCGGATTTTAAATCGGATTTGGTTATTCTGCAATTTTATTTGTAAGCCATATCTCCCAGCCTAAGTTTGAACTGTGTGATCTATATCCCTAACTCTGTTAAACAATGTAATCATTTTTCTTTGTGATGTTCGCATAGAGACAGTTAGTTTACTCAATCTTAATTACTAAGTTTTAATTCCAGACTGTACCGGAATCTGTTTAAGAGTTTCATCTGCTTAGCATAAAATTACAAAAGGTGCCATCTTGAATTTGGAAACAAGTTCCACAAATTGTTACCATATCAGAGAAGCAGCTGATATAAGAACATTTCTT